TCACCTCATGCACAGGCGCAGATACACACAGGAGTGCACACAAACACATCCTCACATTTGCGTGCATGACACACACACAGGCATGGCACAGACAACACCAGGAGGCATTCCTAATCAGAAAATAACACTACGTCAGCTAGATCTGCACCTCCACGTGTGTGACCAAAGTCCCTATTATTTTTAAAAATTGCTCACAGGTGATTGTGATAGGCAGGTTTGACCCGAGGAATATTTTAAAATCTATTCAAGCTCTAACAGTATAGTTTAAGTCAGTGTAAAACATCTAGTGTGTAATGTCTTGTGAGTGACCTGACATACCTAACTTTGGAATAATAAAAATGAAAGTCTAGACTCAAGTAGCAGCTATATTCAATTGAAGATGATTGTTTTTGTTTTTCTTTTCTCTTTTTTTGAGACGGAGTTTCGCTCTTGTTACTCAGGCTGGAGTGCAATGGCGCGATCTCGGCTCACCACAACCTCTGCCTCCTGGGTTCAAGCAATTCTCCTGCCTCAGCCTCCTGAGTAGCTGGGACTACAGGTGCACACCACCATGCCCAGATAATTTTTTGTATTTTTAGTAGAGATGGGGTTTCACCATGTTGACCAGGATGGTCTTGATCTCTTGACCTCGTGATCCACCCACCTCAGCCTCCGAAAGTGCTGGGATTACCGGCGTGAGCCACCGCGCCTGGCCAGGGTACAATTCTTAAAGGAATGGTGTTAAACCGGAACTTCTTCTTAGAATTACAGTCAGCCTTACCCCAGTCCCCATTCCTAGCCCAACCTAACAAATGCTCCTCTATTATTTGGCATATTATTCTGAAATGTTATGTTGAACTAAACAAAAAAGTATACAAAGTAAGTCTTCAAAAAAAAAAGTAGGGGTAGGCATTGTATAATTTTCAAGTATTCCTCAAAAACTATAGCTTTGGAAATGTTGAGTTCAAGATTAAATAAGTCAATATAATCCCTACCACCTTTAGTTTTCATAGCTTGCAAACATAGACAAGGCAAAATCTTCCAATCATTTTAAGCATGTGCAAATGCACGTATGTACTAAATATCAATAGTCTACAGAAGATAAGAAGGTATACAAAGGAAACTCTCATGTAACCTGTTCACATTACACTACAGATCCAGTGTCCACAGAGGCAGGGTGGGGCCTGGAGCACAGTGGGAGGGCATGACGTCTGGCCATCCTGCCGGGGGAGGAGGCCCAGCAGAGCCGGTCAGGGCGGCTAGCCAAGTCTGGACTGAGACCAGGTGCAAAGTGGGTGCCCAGGGAGGCAAAGGATGGAAGAGCAACTCCCAGGAGCTAAGAGCCCGGGGGCAGCCAATGCCAGCCCAGAGCCTGTGGTGCTGGCCAGACCCCATGGACAAGCCAGAGGCTGGTGCTCAGAAGGCGAGGCCTGGTGACAGAAGGAGACAAACCCTGAGGGATGATCAGCTTGAAGAAGGCTAAGTGCAAGGCCCATGAGAAGTAAGATTATGAACTAAGTGAACAGGCATACTCTGTGTGACAAGTGAAAGAATTCAGAACAGCAAGAAAAATTAAACCAGGGAAGCAAATTTCAAGTCAATAGAAACAAGAACTTTCTAAGAACGAGAGTAGTTCCACAATGGAAAGGGCTGCTTTACTGACTGCTTGATTGCTCATACAGGAACATTCTACAGCAGAGAGCTGCGCTGAACTTCTATAAGCGTTCCTTGCTCTCCAAATCGTTTCCATCCCTGAATGTGGATAGCAAGAGGGCGGACATCATTAGATACAGCATCATTCAAATCCACCCCGTCCTGAGTCTCAAGTAGCAAGTTTTACCTAAATGTATTCAGTTCCCGGGTTCAATTAATCAGTTTGAACAGAATACCTGAACTGACTGAGCAAAGTTCAAGAAGGCAGAAAAGGAACATTACATCTCACTAACGCTGGTTACGGCGGCTCACGCTTACAATCCCGACACTGGGAGGCTGAGGCAGCAGTTCAGACCAGCCCAGGCAACGCAGCAACACCCTGTCTCACAAAAACAACACAAAAAACCAAAACCCCAAATCCCATTTAGCCACCGAAATGTGTTTTGTAAGTCTATGATGAAGTAAGATACATTAGTTTCTGTCCATTTGTAGATTTTGGAAAAGCACAATGTAAAAGAAAACTCTACCAGGTCTCTATTTTGAGGTCACTGCTAAACTGAACTGACATTCCTCACTTGTTACCAAATATTGAAATGCCATTAACAAACCCAACATCAATAAACCTAAATGCATCCACTTTGGGAAGACACACGCTGCAGTCTTTTAAATCAGACAATAGCTCAAAGGAGGGTATTGGTTCTTCCAAAACATCTGATTTTTAAGTTCAAAATAAAAATGACCTTCCAAAACAGCCACACTATCAGGCAGTCTGTGTCACTCCCTATACCATACTAACTACCACGAACTCACTGAAAACGGAGCGAAAGGTCGCAGAGCAGACACTGAAAGCAAAGCCCCCAGCACCAGCAGGAGAATCCAATTTTCTGCTTGGGAATTCTGGACTGGAAGGGCAAGATGAGTGGCCTTACTCAACGCAAGTAATGCCCTGACTTCCCCCTAGTGCCCTCTATTCTGTCGGCCTCCGGGGCTTAACATCAACGTCATCTGCGTTCGCTTTAAAGATAAAAACTGGCTGGGCTAGGTGCCTCATGCCTATAATCCCAGCACACTGGGAGGCTGAGACGGGCGGATCACTTGAGGTCAGCAGTTAGAGACTGGCCTGATCAACATGCTGAAATCCTGTCTCTACTAAATATGCAAAAATTAGCTGGGTATGGTGGTGCATGCCTGTAATTCCAGCTACTCAGGAAGCTGAGGCAGGAGACTCGCTTGAACCCAGGAAACGGAGGCTGCAGTGAGACATCTGCCACTGCACTCCAGCCTGGGTGACAGAGTGAGACTCTGTCTCAAACAATAACAACAAAACTGATAAAGATGAACAAGGACACATCTCCGAAAGAGCAAGCACAGAATGGCATGTACAATACAGTGTTCAACTCAAAAGCAAAGCAATGCTATTAATCATCCCATTGGTATGAGGTGAAAAAATACAAAAACATGTTTAGGGCCAGGCGCCGTTGCTCACCCCTATAATCCTAGCACTTCGGGAGGCTGAGGCAGGCGGATCAAGAGGTCAGGAAATCGAGACCATCCTGGCCAACACGATGAAACCCCGTCTCTACTAAAACTACAAAAAATTAGCCGGGCGTGGCGGCACACACCTGTAGTCCCAGCTACTCGGGAAGCTGAGGCAAGAGAATCTCTTGAATCCGGAAGACGGTGGTTGCAGTGAGCCAAGATTACACCACTGCACTCCAGCCTGGCAACAGAGCGAGACTCCATCTCAAACAAACAAAAAACATGTTCAAGGGGGCTGTATGTGACTTTTAGAAAAGTCTGATGCATATCTTTTTTTATAAACAAATGATCTCAAGCACAGGTTGCCATTTGTGTAAACTGAAGTCCTGAAGCAGGTACACCACCACTCACTCTACTGTTCCTTCTATTTTTTGATACATTAACAGGTTTTCATAACAACCACAAAACAATTTTAGTGAAAACCTAGGAAAGGGCGAGTGTAAGAAGCAAAGCCATAGGACAAAGTAAGGATTTCATGCAACACATTTTTAAGGAATGTCAAAAATTTGAAGTTATTAGTAAAATACACCAAAAGTACAACATTGAATACCTGGTGAAAATAAAATTCTTTTTTAATTTTAATTTTTATTTTAAGTTCTGGGTTACATGTGCGGGACATACAGGTTTGTTGCATAGGTAAACGTGTTCCATGGTGGTTTGCTGAACCTATCAACCCATCACCTAGGTATTAAGCCCAGCAACCCTTAGCTATTTTTCCTGATGCTCTCCCTCCCCTCACTTCAACCCCTGACAGGCCCCAGTGTGTCTTGTTTCCCTCCCTGTGTCCACGTGTTCTCATAGTTCAGCTTGCACTTATAAGTGAGAGCATGAGGTGTTTGGTTTTCTGTTCCTGTGTTAGTTTGGTGAGGATAATGGCTTCCAGCTCCACCCATGTCCCTGCAAAGGCCATGATCTCATTCCTTTATTTTTTTTTTGGAGACAGGATCTTGTTCTGTTGCTGGAGTGTACTGGTGCCATCTTGGCTGACTGCAACCTCCACCTCCGAGGTTCAAACGATTCTCATGACTCAGCCACCCCAGTAGCTGGGATTATGGGTGTGTGTCACCGTGCCAGGCTAATTTTTGTATAATGTTTTTAGTAGAGATGGGGTTTCACCATGTTGGCCAAACTCCTGGCCTCAAGTGATCCTCCCACCTTGCCCTCCCAAAGTGCGGGGATTGCAGGCCACCGGACTTGATCTCCTTCCTTTTTATAGCTGCTGTATATGTACCCCATTTTCTTTATCCAGTCTGTCATTGCTGGGCATTTGGGTTGAAAAGTCATTATAGTAGCAAAAAACTAAACATATTCTTGATGCTGACAGCAGGGAAATGGCTAAATATGGCACCTCTGCACTACAGAGTATCAGACTATCGCAGGAGAAATTAAGAAAGTCATCATCAGCTTCTATAATGGGCCCCACTTACAGGTCATAGCCCCCAGGCTTGGTCAGTCCCCAACCCCCCTGAGGCTGTCTCTCCCCGCTGCTGAGCCCACTCCTTTGCAGGACGCCCCAGGGGCCCCGCTCCTGCCCTGACCACAACAGGACAAGAGGGCTACCAGGTGGGTCCAGCCGTACAGCTGTCAGCCAAGCCCAGCCTGGGGCAGTGTGAGGGCCATGTGGTCTCTCACGTTTTCACTCTTTCTGCCCTAGAGGACCTGCCTCCATCCTTTGGCCCTTTTGCTAGAGCACTCAGCTGTCTCTGGCTGTATGACTGCAGAAAATCACGTTTCAAGGTAATAAATCTATAGGATTTTATGGTGAATGAGTATTTACACCTCTTTGGATTACCGCACGGTCCACGCTGATCCCAGAAGAGTTTACTTACCCACGTAGTGTGGTGGCTGCAGCGACCGAGGCTGACTGGTCGTGGAATAATGCCTGCTTGCTCTGTTACATCCCAGAACTGATTCTCAGGGCTTGGGGGCTGGAAGATGCTCGGGAGGAGGCCGTGGCCGCGGCGGTGATGGGCTGTAGAGAAGGCCTTGGTGTGAGGGTCAGGCGGCGCTGGAGACCCGAGGCGCGGGGGCAACTGCCAAGGCAGGGTCGGGCTGGGCCCGTCGCGGGCTCCAGGCAGCAGAAGCGAGGCACCCCGTGTCCGCCTCCGTCCCGCCTCAGGCCACCCCCGAGCCACGGAGAGAAGGCGACCGCCGACGCGGACCTCTGAGCTGGGAATCCTGCCCCTTCCCCGCCGCCGCCGGGCCGGGGGCCGCGAGGGGCTAGAGGAGGTAACGCGACTTTGCAGGGACCCCTAAAGGTCCGCTGCCTCCTCCTCTCGGCTTCAGTCTGCAGGCAGCGCTTCTTCACCAGAGCGCGGGGCGCCCCCGGCCAAGCTCGCGTCTCCCAGCAGCCGCCTCATTTGAAAACACGGCCTTGCCCACGCGCTTTGCGTGGGTTCCGCTGGAGCTGCGCTGGGTCCCGCGTCCCTCTGCTCGCCCTTCGCTCTCGGGGTCCCACCGTCTCCTTCCCTCCTCGGCAGCTTCCTCGTCTGCTCTCATCCAGGTCTCCTGCCTGCCTAGCAGCATCCCTTTCGGATGTCATTCCTCACAGAGAAGTGCTTCATTGAAACTGCCGCTTACCGTCAGCACCCCAAATCTACTGGGGGTCCATCAGCAGTACAGACTGGCAGACTTTGTGTGCTAAGTCGGATTCTTAAAAATATGCTTTAAGCTTAACAGCCTTAAAAAAAATTGCATTATCAAACATAGAGTTTGAAAATGACACTGAAATAACTTTTAAAATGAAAGGCGAGGCCGGGTGCAGTGGCTCACGCCTGTAATCCCAGCACTTTGGGAGGCCGAGGCAGGCGGATCACCTGAGGTCAGGAGTGCGAGACCAGCTTCTATGGCCAACATCGTGAAACCTCGTCTCTACTAAAAATACAAAAATTGGTTGAGCATAGTGGCACATGCCTGTAGTCCCAGCTACTTGGGAGGCTAAGGCAGGAGAATTGCTTGAACTGGGAGGTGGAGGTTGCAGTGAGCCGAGATCATGCCACTGCACTCCAGCCTGGGCGACAGAGCAAGACTCCATCTCAAAAACAAACAAAACAACAACAACAAAAACCGAAATGAAGAAGAAAGAAATAAGAAAAAGGCTCAGCAACTGTTGGAAATATTAATCATTTTTTCAAAAGCGCATGGCCTCTCATGTCATAGTTAGCAGATGTAGGACGTTTGCCCATCTTATTTGTCAAAAATGCTTCTTAAGGATTTGATAACAGCCCAAATTCATCAGTGTTCAAGTTTTTCTAAAAACAATTAGAAAATTAAAAAAAAGAGACATGATATGAATAACTAGGAAGGTGTTTCGATAAAGTCACTGTTAAAGAGCTTTTAAAATAGACTCCACGAGTTAATGTATGAAAAGGGGCTGGGCGCTGTGACTCACACCCATAATCCCAGCACTTTGGGAGGCTGAGGCGGGTGGATCACGAGGTCAGGAGATCGACACCATCCTGGCCAACATAGTGAAACATCATCTCTAATAAAAATACACAAAAATTAGTTGGGCACGGTGGCTCGCGCCTGTAGTCCCAGCTACTCGGGAGGCTAAGGCAGGGGAATCACTTGAACCCAGGAGGCCATGGTTGCAGTGAGCCGAGATCCCTCCACTGCACTCCAGCCTGGGGAAAAAGCAAGACTCCATCTCAAAAAAGAAAATAAAGGAAAAGGAAGTTAGCAGGCTCTCTTGTAACAGGATTATTTAGAAATGTGAATAGTCTTAGTGTTATGTAGCTGTTTAAGGAAAAGCATTCTTTTTCTATTAATAAATGTTTGCAACCGCTGAGATGTGAGAATTATTGAGGTTTATTGTGGGATTAACACGGAAACTCTATTTGAGCCACTGCATGGATGGAGTAAAATGTTCAGGATAGATGGGGTTAATCACTGTATGTAACATGCCATGGACACTGAAGATTAATTCGTTTACTTTCTCTGTTGTGCAATTGCAAAATTCCCATTGTTGGCCTACTTTTTTTTTTTTTTTAAGACAGAGTTTCACTCTTGGTGCCCAGGCTGGAGTGCAATGGCATGATCTTGGCTCACTGCAACCTCTGCCTCCCAGGTTCAAGCGATTCTCCTGCCTCAGCCTCCCAAGCAGCTGGGATTCCAGACACCCACCACCACCTGGTTAATTTTTGTATTTTTAGTTGAGATGGGATTTCACCATGTTGGTCAGGTTGGTCTTGCATTCCTGACCTCAGGTAATCCACCCACATCGGCCTCCCAAAGGGCTGAAATTACAGAGGTGAGCCACCGCACCCAGCCTAGCCTACCTTTAAAAACAGCATTTCTAAATAAGTAGTGATGAAGCAGGAGCAGCTGTGAACAAACCTCTCGAACGCCAAACTGGGAAGGAAGTAGCAGTTTTGTTCAGCCGGGAGCGGCAGCTGGCTCCAGCCTCAATAACTGAGCTCCCCAACAAAGAAAATCCTGGCCCTTTTAAAGGCTTACAGTCTAAGAGGTGCACATATGAGAGGGCTGAGAGTGTGGGGACGTGACTAGGTAGAGGTCTGAGCAGTTGAGCAAGATCAGTGCCTTCAGGGAAAATTCCTCCACACCATGTCTGTGCTCTATAGATAGATTGTGAGTCGGAGTAGGGGGTTTGATCCTTAGCCTTTAGACCTGGCCAGTGGCACCAACTTGTCCTTCCACTGACTTCATCTAATTTTTAACTTTTCCTTTTGAAATGCAGTGTAGAAGGCTAGGAGGAAGTGGTCTTAGAAGCTTAAGAGGAAGGGGTCTCCTTCCTTACCAGCCCCGCTTTGAGAACCTCACCTATAATGTTAGTGAGAGTTCTCATTCTCATTTTCATTTGAGTTTCTCGTTGGGCCAAAATGGACAGAGTTTTACCTGTTTTATTAGTGAGTATTTCCAAGACAGCCTGCAACCGGATGATCTGATTGAGCATGTAAATAGGAGTCCGGTGTCCCCATGAGCTATCCTCCACCCATGTGGCCGGCCCATAATAATAATTCTCTCCGGTGGCCACTCATCATCTTTCCATTCGCCTATCTTTAGACTTCTTTTCTCCTGGGGAAGAGTAGACCGGATATCCTAACAGCTCACCCGTCTTAACAGGTAATAGGAAAAAAGAAGGTTTCATGGTGCCTATGACACAGCTACCTGTCCATCTTTCATGCAGTTGTACGTATGTTCTATGTCCACATATCCAGTACAACCCAGCCGGGGCTGTCCAGTTTCTCCAATATCCAGGATGGTTCCAAGCATCCTGTAATTTTGGGAATGTTAGGAGGGGCTTTTTTGTGTGCGATTTGAACTCCACCAGGTTACAGTGTCCACTCTTCCTTTATACAATTGTTGCCCTAAGCAGCTAAGCTTTCCTGCTGGAACAGTGAAATCTTTTCCTTCTCTTGCCAAACAGTATTGTCCAATAATTGAAACCTTTAAAACCCAGAAACTGTTTGTTTGAATTATTTGAACTGAAGTTAGGTCAAGGACAGGGTCAGAGGATACTAACTCACGAGCTTCCCAATGGCCACCGATCACCCATGATAGTTCAAGTGACATTGAGGTAATGGTCTACAGTTTCAGCAAGTTGGAGGGACACGTTCTTTGTCTTTTTTGGAAGCCCTGGCACTGGCTCATTTAATATATCATAGAAGGTCTGGCACACTGGCTGGGATGAGTGTTTCTGGATTTTTCCTTCAATCTGGATACTGACTCTAGGATCAAGTCTTTTTCAATCATTTCCTGACACTGTACTCTCCCCCTTTTCCCATTTGGGGTCTTGGGAGTTTGCGATTATTAATTCTACTGGGTTAAAATGTCCTGAGACCCAGGGGACATTACAACATGGAATGGTCTCCCTCCCTTTTACAAGGTGAACAGAATCATTTTTATCATCTTTCCAAGTGGCCCAGATGACGCATGACCAGTAAGTGCACTCACCGCACCAGTAGGTTTTCTGGCAGATGTACTTATGCTCTTTTGCATAACTTTGTTCCCATCCGAGGGAACCACCGCCCTCCTCACTGGAATGATAGGCATTGTTGGCTGTACAGGCATCAAACCTTAGGATGACCTATTTTGGGCTTCCCTTTTCCTCTGTTTTAGCTTTTAACTTAGTAGGGCTGTTCCATTGCCCTGTTATGAGTTGAATTTCCAAAGTTGTATGCATAGGGAGTTCTGATGGATCATAGCAGATGTTGGGTTGTCCATTCCCTGGGTTACACACCTTATACTGAGTACCATTATATAAACAGGTTCCCTTCTGTGTCCCTGCACATTCATAATAACTGTAGAACAAAAGAATGGCACTAATTTTTCATCCTACCTCAGTAACCTGGTGCACACGCTGACAGCATTCTCCAAAATCAGTGAATGTCCCACCTGTATAAGTCCAAATTTTAAGAATAAGTCCCACAATGAGTTTCCTCATGCTTCAGCCATGCATGGACCAGCCAGCCTCTGGAATGTGGCTGGAGCAAGGCTTGTTGTCCTTCTTAAGGCGATTCTGCAGTCACTGGGTCTGGTCTAGCTTCCCAAGTTTCAGCTGCTGCAGGCTTTACGTGGCTGTGGTGGATCCAGGCTGGGATTTCCTCTACCTTTATGGCTGTGGGGTGGTCAGGATCATGGTCTGGGGTCCTTTCCACCATGGCTTCAGAGGGACAACATTCTAGTCCTTTAACCACACAAAATCACCTAGTAAGAAAGTATGAACTGTGAAGAACAAGGGCATCTTTCATTTACCCAGGTTGAAATATCCTGAGTGATTTTTCCTAGAGCTTGTAATTATCGTCCTAGCTCAATCTCTCCCCACTACCCAGGAGTTCCTGGGAGTGCCCGCAGTATGGGAGGGGACTTATTATGTAAAACTTCATAGGGGAAATATCCTGTTTTCTTAGAGGGAGTACATCTAATTTTGAATAACACTAAGGGAAGTGCCTGCACCTCCTTAAGGTGGTGCTTTGATCCTGTTTCCTGACACATTTTCCCTAAGCTATTTTTTTTTTTTTTGAGACAGAGTCTCTCTCTGTCACCCATGCTGGAGTGCAGTGGCGTGATCTCGGCTCACTGCAACCTCTGCCTTCTGGGTTCAGGGGATTCTCCTGCCTCAGCCTCCCAAGTAGCTGAGACTACAGGTGCGTGCCACCACACCCCGCTAATTTTTTTGTATTTTTAGTAGAGACAGGGTTTCACCATGTCAGCCAGGATAGTCTCAATCTCCTGACCTTGTGATCTGCCCACCTCAGCCTCCCAAAGTGCTGGGATTACAGGCATGAGCCACCACATCCGGCCTATTCTTAATGGTCCAGTTCATCTGCTCCACCTTTCTGGAACTCTGTGGTCAGTAGGTGGCATGCAGCTTCCAAGTGATACCCAACGCTGTTGCCGTTTTCTGGACCACATAAGCCACAAATGCTAGTCTGTTGTCTGAGCTGATGCGCAATGGCAGTCCACACCTGGGGATGAGATCTCGAATCAGCACACAGGTCACTTCATGGGCCTTTTCAGTCCTAATCAGGAAGACCTCTGCCCACCCAGAGTATGTGCACACCAGGACCAACAAACACTTATGTCCTCCACACCTGGACATTT